CATTCCTCTTCTTGAAAACCTTCTGTAGGGCCCCCCACTCCCTTCTGAAAAAGAACACCAAAGTCTAGCCTGGTTTCTGTCCTCCCCACCCCACTTGCCTTCCTGGTCCCCTGTCACTATGTTCTTCCAGCCCAAATATCCCAAATACCTCTCAGCCATTCAAGTGTTCCCCCTGCTCCCTTCTCCCTACCGCAGGGGGTCCACAGGAGGGAGGAGGCTGTAGAGAGGGAAGAGGCCTCCTCCCGCCCCCCAAACTGTGCAGTTGTTCAGCCCAGCAGGGAGCGCCTTCCCTGCTTGGCCGCCTCCTCCAACCAGCTCCATAGCTGAAGTCATTTCATCAGGAACTTGCTAGGGAGCTTACAAGCATGGATCTCACAGGCTGAAATGCTGGCTCCTGGGCCTCTTCCCAAGGTTTGGTTTACTCAGTCTGGGCGAGATCCAGAAATCCTCATTTTTGATACACATACCCTCCAGAGAGCCCCAGGCCCCAGAATCTCACTGTGAGAAGCACCAGGAAGGGTTAAGTATAAAGCCCCAGGCCCCAGGAAGGCTGCCGTGAGCTGTGTAGAGGGAAGAGACTCAGCTCCTCTGTGCCTGTAGGACGTGTAACCTTACCACTACTGTGTGCACGCCGCGAGACGCGGACTGCAGAGATTCAGCTCCGGGCCGGCACAGGGCCAGCACTCAAGACCGTCGGGCGGGGTTTGGGTGGGATTATCTCTATTTCATGGTAACTGGAGGCAAAACCTTCTTCCCTCAGACTCTCGCTGCCCTACCCCCTTCCCATGAGTCACTGTCCCGCCTTGGAGACGGGGAGTTAGACCCTGTCCGCCTCCCTGCCTTCCCAGGAACTCCACATGTAAACACAGCCCCAGGCACAGAGAGGTTGCAGGCAGCACAGGGACACACGGTGCCCATGTCCCTGGGGGAAAGGATTCTGGGGTGTCCCTGAGACTTAACTACTCAGCTTCAGATGCGTGAGCCTGGCTGGATGGAAACTTCAAGGTCGGGGCCGCCATCACATCAGTTGAGCAGTGAGGGGAAGACAGCCCACCGTGGGGTCACAGACCGCACTTGGCACGTGATGAGCCTTGTCGACCCCTACCCCCCTCACTGGAACACACACACGCACACCACTGTGACCACTTCGTACAGACTCTGAGGGCCCAAAACCCACTGTGGACCCTTCGGAGGCGCTCAGAGCCCAGGAAAGGATGCGGAAGGACCTTATCTCTGTCTTACAGAGGGAGAATGGCTCCCGCCTGTTAGGAATTCTTACAGCTGGCTGCATCATTCACAGCATTAGCAGCCATCAAACACCATGTCATGCTAAAACGGTAGCCCCCCAAAAGGAGAGGCCCAGTGGCCATCATGGCTGTAGCACTGTCCAGAGGGCCCTGGGTGTTCCAGCCTCCGGGCTGGAGCTTGAGAGCACCACGGCAGCATGTCCCATCAGAACCCCATGACATCCACTGCCTCGCTCTCCATCCTGAGGTGGCTTCCCCAGGGCCGTGTCCGTCCGGGGACTCCCATAAGGCTGATGCCTGGCCTAGATGGGTGCCAGGTTTTCTGAGTGTATACCTCAGTCTCCTGAGCTTAGCCAGTGGACATCTACCCAGACTTGGGTGCTAGGGGCCCAACTCCACAAGACAGCAAATCTGCCAAGCGTGTGCCACTGGGACCTTCAGGAGCCGGTGGGCACACCTCCCTGGTCCCGGAGCGTATACAGGGCTCACTGGGCCTGAGGCACGTGATGACTCCCATAGCCCTCCCCACCCTGCTGACTCTTGGGAGGTCCAGAAACCCCACCCCGCTCTGCTTTACTGCCCTCGGGGATGAGACAAGGAGGATGAGGTGAGCTTGGGGACACTGGGGCGCTGGATGGGATGGAGGGGCAGTTCTGCAGCCTAGGCAAGGGGAACAGCCTGGGACCCACCAGTAATCAGGCTCAGCAAACACTGAAAGCTGGGAACAGCAAACATCCGAGCAGGAGAGTCACTGTGCTTACCTGGGCACTTTCCCAGGTCAGAGCCCTTTCGACCTGACTCTGCTCGGCTGGCTCGGAGCCAGGCCATGGCCAGGAGAGAGGAGGAAAGGTCTGGGTCCCACAGGGTGGTGGGGGGCTGGGATGCACCTCAGTAAGCCATGCGGCTTGTGTGGTCATCCGTACTGCCGAGCCCCCGTACCTGGTTCCGCTCACAGAAACTGGCCTACTCCCAAGAAGAGAGACAGTAAAGGAAGGCAGGGGACAGTGGGGCCTGGATGAGAATCCCCACTCTGCCAGAGACTGTGCACACCAGACCCCAGCTTCCTGGTCTGTAAACCAGCAAGAACAGCACCTGTCTGTCAGGGTGCTGTGAGGATTCAGTGGGATAACGTGGGTTAAAACATTTCGGTCTGACACACTCAAGAAATGGTGGTCATAACTCTGCTCAGAATTCTCTGGGAGATACCAGAAAACTGCCAGGAGTCAGGGCTGGTGTGGGAGCCGGAAGACAGAGGAGCTTCACTCAGCAGGTTGGGGGCGAAGGTCCCCAGCAAGCTGGGGTGGGAGAGCTGGCCCCAGTGGGAGGGAAGGAGAACACAAAGCTGTGGGGAGCATGTGCAGGCCAGGCCCTGCAGCTGGACCTCGGAGACCTCCGCCTCTCCTGCCCATGAAGAGGCCCACTTGGGACCGTCCGGCCCCTTGCTGCCAAAGGGCCACGAGCTGGTTCTGAGCGACCCCAGTCTCTCAGCTTTTGATATTGGCACAATTTCACACTTCCAGAAAAGTTGAAAGAATACAACCAAGAATTCCTATACACTGTTGACACTGATTCACCAAGTGTTAAAATTTTACATTTCTTGAATCCTTTTCTGTGTGTATGGCTATGTATGTATGCAATTCTTCTGGACTCTGTGAGAGTCAGTTGCAAACAAAATGCCCCTTTACCACTTAAGACTTCAGTTCTGGTTTAGTTTCAAAGTGTTCCATGAATATTATTAATTCTACCTTCCCATAGGCAGTGGTGTACCAAGGGGTGAGGGTAGAAGGAACAGTCAACCTGGCAGGAATAATATCTTTCCACTCAGCACTTTGTGATTATAGAGAGCAGACCACTTCCAGCTGGTCTGATTACCACTTTACCTTTCTTCCCAATTATTGCCATTCCCAAGGCAGACTGCTTTCAAGCCAATAGATACAAAAGCAGTATTCAAAGTGCTAGCAAAAAGAGGCTCAGGATTACAAAGGAAATAACATTAAATTGGAGAAAATAAATTAAAGAACCTAAAAGCAGTGAAAAAGTGGCAGCTGTTTGTGCACGTGCGTGAGTCTTTCTAGGGTTATCGCAAGGTAAGTGAAAAGTGCTGGCTGTATCCACCAGCAATCATTAGACATTGGCGAAGGGCACAAAACACAGGGACGCGGAGAGTGTGTGCTGGGGGTTAGGCATCAGTGTGGGTACAGTTGGCCCAAAGTTAAAGAAGGCCAGGAGTCTGAGCGCTTGAAGGCAGCATGCCAGAAATGCTGCTGCTGAAATTCTTGTCGCAGGTGATGGTGGGCTCCTGTGCCAGATGAGGATCTTGGTTTGCAAATATCAAAACTGGCTCTGGCTAATTTAGGCACGGTTTCCTGAAGACCATTAGGTAGCTGAAGACCCCTTGCAGGTGAAAGGGCTGGTGGTGTGGCCCTGTGTCCCCTGGACATGAGCCCCAGTCCAGGACCATGTCCCTACTTCTTTGAGACACTTGATGTACCCCTGCCCCAGGGTGATGCCCCGGATGCTGTGAAGTTGGATCCTACCCCAGCACTCTCACTGTTTGGGACAGGTGAGCCTTCAAGCCTTCTGGAGTGGAGGAAGACAGATGCCCCACCCAGAGGGGCATCCACAGCCCCTGGCAGACATGCAGCTGCCAAGCAACCAAAACAAAGCACACAAGTCTCTGCCACCCAGGGGTTCAAGGCCTCTTCAAATGCACCTGGGTCAGAGAGAGGGGCTGGCGCTCACGTGGGCACAGGGGAGCCTGGCATTAGGGGTGGGCTGGCTTG